CTTGTGAGGTTACTCTTATTTGCAAGACTGAAAATTCTGGGCCTACAGGGATATTTTTTCAGCTTCCAGGACAGTATATATTTCTATCAGCTCTTTTCAGTTGCTGCGCAGGTTGGTGAAATGAGCTTTGTAAGAGCAGAAATTTGTAGAAATTCTGAATTACGTCTATAGTTCTAAAATTGTCTGTGATAGAACAGATTTAGCTGATGAGTTAATTAAATCAGGGAAGTTATTAAAAGTAAAACTTATAGCAGAGCTTGTGTCTGTTGACACAGATTAAAAGCATCTCAGGTACAGCTCAAGACAGTAATACTGAAACCTTACTTCTTGGTTCTACTGACAAAAACCTTGTACTATAATAATCAAAAGATGAAGCCTAAGGTAATGGGCCACTATAATGCCTATTAGAGTCTTTTTTCATTATCTGCTGAAGATTATGAAATAAAAAGATCATTATTACTGAGTTAGATGATGATGATGATGATGTCCTTTTCTGCTCTGTGATTTTGCTTGCAAAGAAGACTTAGCTGAGTAACAATGTAGTGACACAGGTCCAACATAACTCAGGCCCTGTTGCTATTTCACATGTTGCACCTTTTACTAGCATGAGTTCTTCCCCTTTAACAAATATCTCACCTATTTAGAAACTTCCCACTCCCATCAATCAGACAAAGAAAAGCCAGAAACAAAGAAGCAACAAATTTCTGGTGCCTTCAGCTCCAATACATCTGGCTCTTCAACATCATTTTGTCAAATCAGACACCACTCACTACATCACCAAATGTCAATTCTTCACTTCTAAATCATATGTCTTCAATCAAATCACTTGTACAGAATCAGCAGATAACAAACAATATTGTGTTAACAGGAAACGATGAAGAAGAGAAGAAAATTATAGATGATGATGATAACACTATTAGCTCGTCTAGACTCGGCAGTCAGCAATACATCTTTGGTCCCACAGGGTGACACCTCCCAAAATGCTACTTTTGATAGACTGATGATATAGAAGATACAGATTCATACACTTTCTAATTCTTTAAAAATTTCAGATATAATTACTAGAAACTCTAATGATCCAAGCTTAGAATCAAAACATCCAATGGAAGGCTAGAAAATCAATATTTTAGATATAGCTACTGAACTGAAGGCTTGTTTATGTAAATATTGGGGAAAGTACTTATGACATAGTGATCTCTGTCAATAATCACCCTGATGAAGGGAAAGCCAGTCTTGAGAGTGTTACCAAAAATGTTTAGCAGTGAGTTCACAAGCAAATGTATGAAAGTAAAGCATGATGATCAGTATGAGTTAATAGTTGATGGAAGAGTCTATTATATCTGCATTGTATGCAAAAGGTTTTATGTCTGACAAGTTTGAAGAGACCTTTTAAAATTAATTCTTGGAAGAAGTATCCATACCAGTACTGTAAAGGTATTTCTTCTTGCAGAATATCACACAAATCATGAAGCTCATCATATTGGGGGTAAAAATATCAATGTTTGGCCTGTGGCAAATCTTTCTTCAACTATCAATTTATGCCTTTACACATAAAGTCTGTTAATACTTAAGATCCTTCTGGGGACTTGAAGCTTTATCATTTACATCCACAGAAGTCTTTACAAATCAGAGTGTACTTCTCTGATAGTTCAAGCACAATGTCTGTAATGGATAATGGTTTTGGGTACAGCACTGATGCTGGAAAAGAGCCTCTAATAGGAACTACATTTACTCCTCAGAATAAGCCAATGACCTGGGAAGATATTTTTATTCAGCAGGAAAATGAGTTAATTTTTAAATAGAGGGTAAAAGATGGCAGTACTGAGTTTGAATTTATAATGCGAGAATCTTACTAAACTTTAAAATATCAGAAAGTTTTCATTTAGATTAAGGGGCAGAGACTTCAGAAGACCTGTAAAACAAATTAATGTGAAAACAAGTTAATCTGATCTGCCACATCATCTGAAGGTAGTCTAGTTGGATTATTTGTTAAGACCTTTCAGAAGGAAAATTTTAGGAAAATTTGAGTAGAAGTTGAGGCCCCTTCCATATCTTTCTATATAGTTAGCTTCAGCTCATTTAAAAGAGGCAAAAGTAAAAAGCTCACAGTTTTCTCAATAGAATTTGAAAGTCTGACCTTTGAAAATAACTGCAGTTACTAGTATACTTAGTACTTTTTTTTTTTTTTTGTACCGGGGATCAAACTTGGGACCTTGCGCTTGCAAGGCAGGCAGTGGAACCACTGAGCTAAATCCCCGGCCCCTTAGTATATTTTTTAATGTTCCCTTTCCATGTTCATACTTTACTGCTGAGGCCAGGGATTTAGCTCAGTGGTGCTGCTGCCTGCCTCGCAAGCACAAGGACCCAAGTTCGATTTCCGGTACCAAAAAAAAAATGTCTTCCTTCCATACTTTACTGCTGAGTTCTCAGTTTCCTTAAAATTGAGGCTATAAATGTATACTGTGTCTTGTACATGGCACTAAAAGTTAAGAAGAACTTCTAACATTGTTCTAGACAATTTCAGAATAAGTCTTCACTTGGTTGTGTATTCTGCTAGTGGAAACAGATAGCAACCTATTGCCTCCTTTGTTCAATGAAAACAGGCATGAAGACAAGTCTCTCATAAAGAAAATTACATAGTTTTCACCTAGTTAGAATTAGTAGTTGCTTTTGGTGGTTAGGCCACCATATACCTTTGCAATGTGGTTTTTGTGGGCAAAAAACTAGTGGAAAAACTAATCTATAAAGAAGATAGGAGGAGAAGAAAACTGTCACACATATTTTTCTTAATGATATCTATGAGAGATTCAGGGAACTCACTGTTGTGTACCTCCTATTGAAAAATGGAACTTGGAAACTATTATCAATACCTGCTAATACTATTAGGTTAAAGACAGAGCAAATTTCAGAATGGATTGATCAGGTTGATATCACCTTTGAAAAGCAGGGTACCTAGACATTCCATGTCTTCTATTATGATGCAAGAGAAAATACAAAGTACTTCCACTAAAGCATCCTCCTAAGAAGAATCCACATAAACATATAAAACCAAGAACTGGAATCTAAGACACAAGGATACAATATGTCAAATCTGAATGTTGAAAACTCTACAGATCAAATGACCTTAGTTCATTAATAAGTAAATGATAGTGGGAAAAAAAAGGGTCATAGAGGAGAAACGCTATGGATTAAAAATATTTGAGACATACCAAACAAATGCAGTATGTGGACTTTGTTTGGATGCAGTGTCAATAATACTAACTATAAGACAATTATTAGAATACTGGGAAGATTTCAATACTGACTTGGTATATTAGGTGATCACAAAGAATTACAGTTACAATTAAGAGTGGGAAGTTAATTAAGAGTGGGAAGTTAAAAAGAGTGGGAAGTTAAATGAGTTCTAAAGTATTTATATGTGAAATGATTTATTACCTGAGATTTACTTCAAAATACTACAAAGAAAAATTAAAACTGGGTAATGGTCATGTGAGGCCCTTTTTTTTGGTACCGGCGATTGAACTTGGGTCCTTATGCTTGTGAGGTAAGCGGTGGAACCAGTGAGCTAAATCCCCGGCCTGTGAGGCCCTTTTTTGATTCTCTCAGTTTTAAGTATGTTTAAAAATTTCCATAATAAGCTTTAAAATAATCAAGAACAGTAATTTGGTGTGGAGGTAGAAAGAAGGTTATTACAGTGATCCAAGGGTAAGGAGCAGAGTCTGGACTAGTGTGCCGAGAAATGGATGGACTGGAAAGGACACTGGGAATAACTGGCCATGGTGATGAAATAGATGTGAGAGAGAAGAAAAAGTTTGAAAGGCCAGTGTTTGAAATTGAAATCAATGGTGATAACATTAAAAGAGGCAGAGCAGATAAGAAGGGAAGCAGGCATGGAGGAAAGAGGATTGTTAACACCAGAGTTGGATGTGATTAATGGCAACTCTGCTAAGTATAAAGGAAAAAAAACACACTTGAAATTCTCCACTGAAGGAAAGTATGGGGCTATTTGAAACTATACACTTCTGCCTTGGGGAAAGAAAGACAGTGTCCTCAGTACACTTAAAAAGAGTACCTGAAAATATTATTTCAAGATAGTTTTGATTCCTTATATGAGTTTTTCAGGTATTAAAAGGGATGCCTGTCCTTTTAAATGTATAATCTATTACTTTCCTTATTAAGGCACAATTTACATACAATAAAACATATTTAGTGTTTGTTTTTATGAGTTTTGATAACTGTGTACACCCATGTAACTGGCACCCTAAACAAGATAATTTCCTGTTTGTTCCTTTTTCATTGTTGCATAACAGTCTATTGCATAAATATATCACAGTTCATTTGTACTCTCTCTTGTTGATAGGTATTTACATTATTTTCAGTTATTGGCCATTATGAAAAAAGTTGCCAATGGATATTCTTGTATAAATCTTTTTTTTTTTTTTGGTACTGGGGATTGAACTTGGGACCTTGCACTTTCGAGGCAGGCAGCGGAACCACTGAGCTAAATGCCCAGCCCTTGTATAAGTCTTTTTATGGTCTTGCAGAAGTCTTAATTTATTTTAGGTAAATATCTAGAAATAGTAGAATATGGTCACAAGGTAAGTACATCTTTAATTTAATTTATTTTTTTGGTACCGGGGATGGAACTCGGGACCTTGCACTTGTGAGGCAGGCAGCAGAACCACTGGGCTAAATCTCCGGCTATATATCTTTATTTTTTAATTTTTTTGGTACCAGGGATCGAACTCAGGTCCTTGTGCTTGCGCAGCAGGCGGCAAAACCACTGAGCTAAATCCCCGGCCCTACACTTCCTAATTTAAGCACTGGAAAGATTGGGGAGGGGACAGAAATCAAACCAAGCCTGGATAAAAGCATCTAAAGAGAAAGATCTCAAATACAATTTGTTTGGTAAGAAAAATTACACTCATGATATTAGCCATGAAAATACAGTTTAATTCAGTTGTTTTGAAAGACTTCATATTTTACTAAAAGATACTTACTTGCAGGGATTGGCTAAGACAGTCTCGCAGTATTTCCTGATGATTAGGTTCACACAGTATTTCAAATATTTCCTTTCTCTCTTGTACAGTGTGGGCTGGTGACAAAATATGTACAAGTAGTCTCCCAAGTTGCATTCGAAATGTTTCCTTACAAGACCAAAGAATTTTAGTCCACTGCTGCTTAGAACCACTGGTTTTACTTGAACCCTTAAATTAAAATAGGAGTGAATTAGGATTAGATTTAAGCAATAATATACCAACCTCACACAGTTCCAAAGAAGACAATAAAATGTTTCACTGTAGATTTAATATTCAAAGGTAGAAATTAAAAGTTAGAAAGATACACACATATACACATACATACATACATACAAATGGGAGTCTAAAAGAGATGGATGTGCAACATTCATAACAGCATTACTCAAAATAGCTGAAATAAATAATTCAAATGTTTATTAATGGATGCACTTATAAACAAAATGTAGATATATATGTACAATGGAATATTATCCAGCCTTTTAAAAAGAAACCAAGTTTTGATACATGCTTTACAACACGGATGAACCTTGAAAACATTATGTTAAATGAAATAAGCCAAACACAAAAGGACAGATATCATATGATTCCACTTATCTGAGGTATCTAAAATAGGTTCATAGAAACAAAGTAGAACAATGATTACTGGGTTTGGATAATGGGAGCTATTGTTTAACAGGGACAGAGTTTCAGTTTGGGGTAATAAAAAAAATTCTAGAAATGGATGATGGCAATAGTTGTACAATATCAATGTACTTAATGCCACTGAATTATACACTTACAATAGTTAAAGTGGTAAATTTTATGTTATATATATTTCACCACAATTTTAAAAAGAGAAAGACAGATGAAAAAGTTAAAGTTCTAAGGCATTTAAAAATTATCAACAGCTTAGAAACTGTAAATTAAAAATCAAAACAAAACAATAAGAGAACAATGGCAGATAAACCCACATTGATTTTGCCACATAAAGGAGAAAGGATTCACAATAAAGACTTCAACTAGTATTACAATATTGAGTATAACGGTCACAAAACCAAGTTAACCATCAAGTTTCCCTAATTTAGCTAGTTAACAAGAACTAACTGTGGTTCTACTTACACTATCTTGATCCTGATCAAAATACCTGTCTTGGGATTAAAACTGGAAGTGTACATTGATGGTGGAAATGTACTATTCCGAGTTTGGGAATGAGTTTCCAATTACTCCTAGTCCCAAGGGCCCTGGGTGAGTTATTCAATTCTAAGTCAATCCAGTTTGTTTTGCTGCTCAGAGATGGGCAAGAAAATCTAGTTTAGATTTAGAGATTGGCAGTCATTTATGAGTTCTGGTAAAATTAGATTGGGCTTTGGTATCTATGGAGTAAATGGACTGATTTTACCTCACGGTCAACTCTAAGTGACCCATAGAAACTCAAGTGAGGTGATGATAAATGGAGCCTGACATCTGTCAGAATTCTCTGTATCATTCTAAAGGTGTTAGATACATTTAGTTAAAAATTAAACTTCATAATTCAGAAACTCAAGAGTATAACTATAAACAAAGTCCTTTCAGAAATAGGCTGTTAATTTAAAGTCTCAGAGTAATCAGCAAAGCCCTCTTTCTTTTTAATGCTAATTTTCCTAGACAACAAAATTTGAAAATGGCTTTCAAGAGTCAGACTTCAAAGTCTATGGTGCATGAAACAAGTTATTTTGGAATTAGCAATATATATTAACTCTACTATTAAAAATTCAAGTTGCGGGCTGGGGATTTAGCTCAGTGGTTTTGCTGCCTGCTGCACAAGCACAAGGACCCGAGTTCAATCCCTGGTACCAAAAAAGAAAAAAGAAAAAGAAAAATTCAAGTTGCCCGAGTTTCAGAAAGCTCTCTGAAACAGCACAAAGAAATGATTTTGGAAACATGAAGTACAGACACATAAAACTCTATTCCTTTTGAATTATTTCTCATGTTATTAGTTTACTTACAATACACACTTTGAATCCTTCTATCAGATATTTGAACATTTCTTTCTGAAATGGATTAAAAACAGAAGGCTGTTTGTGATGAATATTTTCCTCAGAAATTTCAGTCTGGAACACTGAGGTCTTGCTTTGAGTTGTATTTTCTGGAGTTCCCAAAATGTCAATAATGTCTGAATTAAACTCTTTAAATTAAGAAAAGAATAAAAATTGGTCAAATCACTGATACATAATCATTACAAAAGGTAATGATGCTGACAAAAATATGTAATTGCTAACTCATTTATCACCATATATATGTAGTAGGTGTGCTATAGAAAGTACAACAGAGAAAGTGAAGTCACCTAAACAATGTAGAAATTTTAAAATATATGCTATGAAATGTAAAGATTTAGCTTACTAATGAGAGGAGTTAATCAGCAAAATTGTTAAAACATAAAATTCTTGTACAAATCAAACATAAAGACCACATAATATATACATTAGATAGATCTCAGAGTTCTTTCATGCATGTGCTATCCAATTAAAAGCTGTACATGTGATAATCATGGTTCAGTTTCAGAGTTTAGACTGGGAGCCTGCTGTTCCAAATGAAAATTAATAAAACCCCAAGGACAGCGATGGCAAACCTTTTAGAGCTTTCAATGATAACAAACAGCCCACTGTGGCACATGTGCCAAAGGCTCACCACCACTGTCCTTGGGTTTTTCATGTTTTCTAGTGACTAACAATTACTGTTTTCTTTTTCTTGCCTTCCTGTGGGTTACCTAAATATTTTTTTAGAATCCCACTTTGTGGGGCCGGGGTTAGCTCAGTGGTTCGGGTGCCTGCCTCACAACCACAAGGTCCTGTGTTCGATCCCCAGTACCAAAAAAAAAAAAAAAGTAAATAAACAAATAATTTAAAAAAAAAAGAATCCCATTTTGCTTACCTGCAGTGGTTTAAATTTCTTTTGACTTTACAGGGGCATAACTGACAAACAGAAGTTCTATGTTACATATATTTAAAGTGTAAAATTAAAAAAATAAAGTGTACAACTTGATGTTTTGATATGCATATACAAATGACCACTATAACAAAGCGAGTTAAGACATTTACCATCTTATATAGTTACTTTTGTGTGTGGTGTGAACATTACGGTGCTTTTGAGTAGCTTTTGTTGTTGTTTTTTGGTACCGGGGATCGAACTCAGGACCTTGTGCTTGTGAGGCAGCCGGCGGCATCACTGAGCTAAATCCCTGGCCCTTGACTAGCTTTTTTATTGGTTATTCTAAGTATTACTTACACTGACCACTGGGGAAATGCAAATTACAGACACAGTGAGACATTATACATCTATCAGAATGGCCAAAATAAAAAATAGCAACAAATTCAAATAGTGATGCAATACAAAGAAACTTTGATTAATCATACACTGTTGGTGGGAATGCACAACTATACGGCCACTGTTAAGGTTTAGATATAAAATTTCCCCTCAAAATCTCATGTGCTCAAAAATGGGGCTTATAGGGCCGGGGATGTAGCTCAGTGGTGCCACCACCTGCCTCACAAGCACAAGGTCCTGAGTTTGATCACCGGTACAAAAAAAACAAAGAAAAAAAGGTGGGGCTTTTAGAAGGTAACTGGATCACGGGGGTGCTATCCTCCTTGGTGGATTAATCCACTGATGAGAGTTCATAGCTAAATATGCTATTAGGAGATGAGGCCAGGTCAAAAGAGGTGAATCATAGAGCGTGCGACCTCGAAGGATACACTCTTGTCCCTATCTCCTCTGTCTTTTTCCTGGCTGCCATGGCCTGGCAGCTTCCTTCCATCATGGTGTTTCTGCCTTGGAGCCAGACAACCATGGACTGAATTCTCTGAAACTGTGAGCCAAAAACTTCTCCCCCTAAGTTGTATTTGTCAAGTATTTTGTCTCAGTGATAGGAAATGTGAGTAATACAACAACTCTGGAAAACTGTGGTACTTTCTTAAAACACTAAATTAATTACTATATGACCCAGGAATTGTACCCCTGGGCATTTATCCCAGAAAAATAAGACTTATGTTTACATAAAACCTGTATATGAACGTTGATAGAAGTTTTATTTGTAATAATTCCAAAGTGGAAAAAACCTAGATGCCCTTCACAGATTAATGGTTAAACAAACTGTGGTACGTCCATATGAAATACTAAAAATACAGGAATGGGGGCTGCTACTGATACATGCAAGAAAACCTGAAAGGCTACATGCTATATGATTCTATTTACAGTGGTACCTATTTACAGTGGAACCAAACAGTTTGGTTCACAGAAGTGTTTGGCAAAATTTTGTTTTTGTTTGCAAACTGCATCAGATAACAAACATGACCATGGCCATCTTTCCCACACAAACACGAACGTGGCCATCTCTTCCAAAATTGTAGAACAAATTAAGTTCATGAACTGAGGTACCACTGTATAGTATATGGAATTCCTGAAATGACAAAAACAGAAATGGATGACAGAGTAGAGGTTTCCAGGAGCTAAAAAGAAATGGAGTGGGAGCAAAGGGGGTATAGTGACAAAAGAAAAACTAGAGGAATCCTTGTAGGGATGGAAACATCTTATTTCTTGACTATATTCATGTCATTATGTTGATAATAACACTATACTATAATTTTGCAAGATTCACAGGAAAACTGGGTAAAAGGCACAAAGGATCTTTACATTATGTTTCAACAACTGCATGTGAATCTATATGTAAAAGAAAAAGGTAAAAATATTGGAGATACTATATTGTTTTAAAAATCAAAGGTCTATCTATACTAGCATTTAATACATTAAAAAGTAGATTTTTATTCACAACCATCAGTTCCAAATAAGAAATTCTTTTAATAATGTGGATATTAAGAACAGATAAATAATACTGTTTAAAATTTTGAAACCTAATCTATTCCCTCTGAAGTGACTTTTCTTTTAGTTCAAAGTCTGAGTAAGAACAACTTAATTCTACTGTCCTACCTTGATAAATAATCCTGTTGACTGCCAAGACTGTGAGCCTCTGCAATCTCTGTGTAAGCTCTGCATCAGTGGCCTGGCTGGGGTTCTCCTGGCTCATTCTCCTCTGCATCATGGTGTGGAGTTCATCACTGGCCACTGAACGCATTTTCATCATAAGAGATTCAGTTTGGACCAGGGAAAATTTTCGAGGACCTTCAAGTATATAAATTAAAATGTCCAATGCCAGTGTTAGTGATCAAGAAATCTATGTTTACTGAAAATTTTTGATTATTAGACTATGAAAAGAAGAACTTAATTACTGCAAAGTTAATTTACACAAAGGGAAGAAAATGATTAAGAGAAAGTGATGTTTCTCCCTCTTCAAAGAAGTGCAACAGTATTTTAGGTTTCAAAGTCTGAAATAAGTGTTAATGTCAGTGACATTGCTTAGTGAGAGGGATATCATTTGTCAAAGTTGAAGTTTTTCGAAAAATTCAAAGTATTAGATTGTTTTGATAAAATATTTTCAAATACTGTTTCACTTCCTTATATCCCAAAATCATCAAGAGAGTTTTAAAGCAATTGTGTCTTAGTAAGAACACTGCTATTTCTGGATAAGTACTGTCGAATAAATTAGTTACAAAAACTGTATATAGTGACAAAGTAGGACCCTGTCAGTAAAAGAGATCAGAAAGGTGAATATCATTCCAGTGATTTGCTTTTAAAATGATTTGGAGCACATGGATCATTTCAAATTCAGAGCTACAAAAGCCATTTCCTGAGAAACATTTCTTCTGATTGGACAGGTACGAGTGGTGTTCCTGTGTCATTACTACACCTGCTCCAGAAGGTACCACACAGGTAGAGCATCCAGGAGAAAACTGGGGGGAGGAGTCTTCATTTAGCGGACTGAAGGACAAGGGCATTGGAAGTTGACCATAGGAACGAAAATGACGTCTTGGTAGGTGAGGAATAACAGAACCCTTCATTGGAATTGAACCTTTGTTTGATATATGAAAACATATATCAATTTTTATAAATAATTGCTATAAGCTTATACATGACATTTATACCAGGTTTTCACAAGATATTTAAAATTTTTAGGTGATCAGTATTCTTTATTAATACATTTTGGTGTGCAGAGTCACTTTGGAGGCCAAAAAGAAACAAAGAAAAAAATTTTTACCCTGGATATATTCAAGATTAATGCTGCCAGACAATGTCCTTAGTTTAGGCAGATTCTTCTTGAAGTCTGTATCTCTGAGAACTTTCATGTTCTGTAAGCAGCTGATAAATCATAATCTAGAGGGATGGCAATATATTGAATGAAGGAAATGTTAAAGTCTTCTTTAGTACTTCATGCTGGAAAAAATGCAAGGGTATTCCAGCACTTATGCTGTGAAGACATACAGAGCAGGTTCACTTGTTCTTTCTTTCTTTCTTTTTTTTGAGACAGGGCCTCACTATGTAGTTCAGGCTGGCCTTGAACTCTAGGTGATCCTCCTGCCTCAGCCTCCAAGTTCTGGGATTACAGGCATATGCCCAGCCAGAACTGGTTCGTTCTAAGCCTCAGTTTTCTCATATATAAGATCTGAGTTAGAAAATAAAACCGAGCTCATCTCATGGGTAGGTATTTATTACTATCTGACATTACCTTCAATATATTTGTTTATATCTGTATTGGTCATTTCCTCTAGTACAAGTCCCACAAGGACAGATGAAGTAGTAAGTAGCACATGGGTGGTGCTCAATAATTCTTTTATGGCTGAATGAATGAATCAAGGTTATTTTACAAATTAAATAAATAATGGATGTAAAACATAACGCCTGTCTCATTCTTACAAAGAATAAAAAAGTTAATGTTCAGTATTATTTTATTGGTTAAAACATATCTATCAGGCCGGGGATTTAGCTCAGTGGTGCCATTGCCTGCCTTGCAGCACAAGGTGATCCCCTGTACCAAAAAAACAAAAAACATATCTATCTTTACAAAGGACAATTTACCTAGGTATACAGAATACACTTTAAATAACACCATAATGCTTAATTCTTCTACCTTTATGTGCTAAAGGTGATGTGTAAAGTTTTTCACATTGACAGGCAGAGGAATATGCTATCCTGTTTATAATAGGAAAAGTAAATTAGAAAAACCCTTTGTTTATTGGTAAAGTTGGGGAAGAATAAGATACAATACAATAGATTATGCATTTATTAAAATAAATAATATATTTATTAATATGGAAAGAAGTCTCAAGTATAATGATTAGAAATAGAAATCATTTTGAAAACAGTAGGTAGAGCATGTACCATTTAGAAAATTAGATATCTTTCCCTTATTTGTATGAAAAACAAAATATGGAGGCTAAGGAATAAATCAGGGCTCTGTTCAAGCAGAAAGGAACTCAGACCTTTGAGTGGAAGAATGGTGCACATGCACTAAGTTCTAAGAACATTAATCTGGCAATAAAATTGTGTCCAATTCCTCCAAGAGTCTAAAACCTAGACATGATCAGAGTGCTTCTGGAAAAATGCTGTTCTTCACAAAGTCATTCTGGGGCTCATGGTCTGAGTAAAAGTCTGTCCCCTGTTAGAGGGGGGCAAGCCCTAGGCCCTGGCAATCCCCACATCCTCTATTGGAGGAGTGGGCTGTGGCAATGGGGTTGGAGGTGTAAGACATCTTGGTAGTTTTCAACAAATGCTAAATAAGTTTATTTAGGAAAAAACCTCTTCTAAACATTTATCAGCAATGAGGATAGTTTTAAGTCTTTTAAGTAACAATTCATTATCTAACTGATGGAAATGACAGAAGTAGAAATCCCTGTAAGTCACTTTGGAATTGTGAACAGCTGGGGCCAGGGATTTAGCTCAGTGGTTCTGCCACCTGCCTTGCAAGCGCAAGGTCCCGAGTTTGATCTCCAGCACCAAAAAAAAAAAAAAAAAAAAAAAAAAAGAATTGTGAACAGCTGGAGTTAAATAGATTTTCATAGCCATACTGCTCAGAAGCACAGAAGTCTTGGTATTCTATCTTTTGTACCTAAAGTGTACAAAGCCAATATACTTGTGACAGTAACTTACAACTAATAGTGAAAATAAAAAAGTCTTCCCCAAATATATTTGTAAAGAAGAAAACATGAAAGTAATTATAAAGGAACAATTTAACATGAAGTGGTATTTTGCAAACTGAATTCACAGAATTTAAATAAACATAATGTTCAAAATGGGAAGAACTCTTGAGAGAGATAGATTCTAAAAGCTATGTTAGCCCTAAAAAGAGATGTTGTTTGGGACACAAAGGGAAGAGTGTGGGAGTGTGAGTTCCAGCTATCCCTAATTTTAGGATATAGTGAGCCTGTAAGAATGAGGAAGCTGGACTGGATGACCTGTAAGGTCTTTTATTAAGCTTAGGAATTTGCAGGATTCTATGTATAAGCCTCACACACATGACAGCAATTGTATTTATAAAGTGAAAAATATAAGCCCAAGTAAAGCTAGGCATTGTGTCTTGTGTTTGTAGTCCCAGCTACTTGGAAGGCTGTGGCAAGAGGATCATTTAAACCCAGGAGGAGTTCAAGGCCAGCCTGGGCAACATACGGTCTCAAAACAAACAAACACAAAAACATAAGCCCAAGTATAATAAGAGACTAGAGGAATAAGAAAAAAAAAAGAAAAGTGGTGTAGTAAAAAGAGTGACAGTCCATTATCCATTTAAAAATGATTCAGGGCAAAACCAAAACAATAATAAACTTACAGCTATCCAGGGCTTTGAGGCTCAGGGTGACAGAGATGTTAGTATCTAAAGAGAGATAACTATCAGAGGAATCGCCAATTTAAGAGACAATAGCAAGAGGGTCATTGTGCTAGCAAGCCCAGCCACAGGCTGATCATTAACTAACCAGGGATGCAAGCAGAGCAGTAGAAGGATATGAGCAAGAGAAGCAGCAAAAAGAAGGAAGCAGCAGAAGGAACAGATGTGTACTGTCTGAAATCAATAGAGGGTTAATTCTACCTGAGCAGTCACTAAGAGTGGAGGCCTACAAAGTAAGTTGTTCAGAAGTCATCTTTTGGCATGTAAAAAGCTGAGCATGACTGTTAGACTTGGGAAAGGACATAATTCTACTTAGGAGAAAGGAGAAACAATGGGAAGGTAGCACAAGAGAAGAGACTTTGTTTAGATAATAAGGAAAGATATATAGGGGCAGTAAGTTTAGTTACATAGATATTTTAGAAGTTTTATTATAAATGTTTTATTTAGCATAACAAACTTATATTACTGTAAAACATATTTTAGAAAGTCTTCTCTATGGGTAGTTTTTTGGATGATTTTAAAATTTCACATAGTGAAGTAACTTAGCACAAGCAGAAGAAACATTCGGACTTGAAAGCTATTAAGACTACAAGGGCAGGTCCAGGGATTTAGCTCAGTGGTTCCACCGACTGCTTTGCAAGTGGAAGGTCCCAAGTTTGAACCCCGGTACCAAAAAAAAAACCAAAACCTTCAAACAGTACACCAAAGTACTCTGTTCAAAGATACATGCGTGTTAGGGCCGGGGATTTAGCTCAGTGGCACTGTGCCTGCCTGGCAAGCACAAGGTCCTGAGTTCAATACCCGGTACCAGAAAAAAAAAAAGATACATGCATGTGTATGTGTATGCACATACATACTTGTGTATATTAACTATGTACAGATATAAACACATTCATGTATATGTATGTTGTATATGTACACGATCCTATGTGACGTTACGTCATCTTTTGGGATTATGTTTACATACATGGAATAACAAATGCCATTTGAAAACATAAGGAGGTCTAATAATATTAACACTGATTGTTATTAATGCTAATTATTATTAATATTAATTATTTTGTAGTGCTGGAGACTCAACCAAGCTTCATCTTACTTCACTCTCTCCTCAAGTGCTATATTCTAGCTAAATGGCTTTCTTTCAGCTCTCTGAACAAGCTTAGCTCTTTCAACAAGTTTAGCTCTTTTCTTGCTTGGGATCCATAACATTGTTCATTTTGTCTTCAACAATCTTCCTCTGACTCTACCTTGCTAATTCCTTTCTTATCCTACACCTCCATACAGAACTGAATTTCACTTCCACAGAGGCCTCCTTCATGCCTGCTCTAAATTTGGTTGCCCTGGTGTACTCTCTGCCTACCCTCTGCATTTAACTACTATTTGATGATTTCTACAAGGCAGAATCTGTTTCTCTAAAATTTAGCACAGGGCTTGGCTCATGGTAGGTGCTGAAGAAATAACTGAATGAGAACAACACTGAAAAGAAAACAGGATAATTTCCTCTGGGGGGAAAATTTCTCAAATTTTACAGCTTAAACTAAGAAACATTTTAAAAATGTGAATGGCATCAGAATATAGGAAAGTCAATTTATAATTATTAAAACTTATTTTAATACTCACCAGCAATGCTTTTCCGCTTTTGAAATACTGCATGGTGGGGAGCAGAAGGTGACTGTATTGTATCTTCAAGGTTTTCAGAGTCATGATTTGCTGTGCTCCTTATAAATTCTAGAGCAGCATGGAGAACTCTAAGCTGCAGGGCAAGAGCCATACCTACAAATAGAAGAGACTAGGATGCCTCCAAGCTATGATATTATTAATCTTTTAACTGATCTTTTTTTTTGTACTGAGGATCAAACTCAGGACTTCCTGCTTGCCAGCTAGGCACTGTGCTGCTGAGCTACATCCCTGGCACTAGATCTTATTTTTTATATCATCCAATGTCTAAACTGCTAATTATTAGATAAAAATTTAAAATTTTTGATCAACATAGGTTTTCAATGCTAGTCAGAATTTTAACTTAACACCTCATTTTTGGTAGTCCTGGGTATTGATCCCAGGGGTTGTACATCTAAGCAAGTACTCCACCACTGAGCCTTATGGCCAGCCTCTAAAAGCAATTTTAAAGCAAATTTCCAAATAGTCACTATAAAAAGGTAAAGGAAGGGCCGGGGATTTAGCTCAGTGGTTTCGCTGCCTGTCGTGCAAGTGCAAGGACCCGAGTTCGATCCCCAGTACCAAAAAAAAAAAAAAAAGGTAAAGGAAAAATACTCATAATAGTTCATACATTTAATTTTACATAAGTTTTTCAAAGAACATTTGTGCATATAAGTTAAAAGTTTAACCAGCAGAACTCATACTTTTCCAGTTTCATGTTTACTTTAATATATGCCATTAAAGAAAAAAGAAGCATTACTGTTCTACACAAGCCCTTTAACTCTACTTGATAAGAAAAATCAGCAGCCTCTTCTGAGGATGCCTTCCTAGCTTCTAATTATGTCAAGGCATCACTTTTTCTATTTTTGCCACTTCAAAAGGCCGTTTTTTAAAGCCAATCAGTATCATCACAAAGTTGAAGTTAAACCTTCAGTAAAGGAGTTATTAAGCAGAGATTAGGCCTTAGTGAAATGTCTGGCTACTATACAACTTCCCCCCAAAATCCATAAAAATTAAATCTTACTTTGTGTTTTCTTGTTTTTGCTATTTTGAAGATATCCAAGGAGTACAATTAGATCTTCAATAACTCTAAAATATTGTGAGCCCGAGGAACTGCAAGCATGAATTGTAACTGCTATGAAAAGTTGCTGTATATCACATGCAAGTAATTTGTATTCATTCAAAGGAATGCTAAAGATAACCAAAAAGCAAAAACAAAAAAAAGGTCATTTATAAGAACAAGAACCAATAATTTAAGACAGAGAACTGGTTTAAGTTCTTATTCTATCAGCATGCATTCATTCAGTATTTATTCATACTCACTCTATGACAGGTAATACACTTTGCATATTAAGAATAGAAACAAGAAGACACACTTTCACTCCTGTCAAAAATAGTCTTGCAGAAGACCAGCAAAGTAAAGAGACCATTATAAACAGTAAATGATGTTAAATTTAATAATAGAGATTAACACAAGATATGGGGAACAAATAAGCACGTTCCTAGCCTATACTAAGGATGAATAGTATGAGAGTGCGAGCAAAAACATTCTGGGAAGGCTCCCCAGAAAAGGTGAATGTAAATAAATTAAACTCTCTGAATCTCACTTGTATAAATTATGGTTATTTTAAGCATTAGAAGATACTGTAATAGGTTTAAATATATATTAATCACCTCTCAATACACAATAACTATGAATCAGTTACTTCTTTCTGCCTCTCAATTTTAACTTTGATAATCTACCTCAGTGTGTGCTATCAGGTTAAGCACTTCTATTTACTTTTTTCAAATCAAGGAAAGGTAAAACATGGTAACCATTAATAGAGTACTATTCAGGGGCTATCAGTAAGCATAACTTACTTTTTACCAAGTAAACAAAATCTACTTTTAGAACAAGCCTGCAGCTGCCTTTCTAGGTTTACCATTTTCATGTACTGTACTGCAATCAAGACTAAGTGTTTTGAGAAAATATTATACTTTATATTTATTTCTGTTTCTCATATGCCTAGCATACAGACCCTAAATGTAATAGGTGTTCAATGAAAGCTGAACCAAGTTACAAGGAGTCTCTCCTTGGCCTAGAGAATCACAAAAGATATGCTTTGTTCTCTCTGCAAAAATATAGATAACATTTAATGCTATTTATATGCAACAAGATGGTGCATCCAAATATTTAATGTTATGTTAGTAAAAATGGTACTCTGTGCACCATAAATGGGGACACCAAAGATACAAATCCTAAATGAAAATCTAAACTCCTAATGTATTTTTTTTTTTGGTACTGGGGATCAAATACAGAACCTTGCGCTTGCAAGGCAGGTGTTGGAACCACTGAGCTAAATCCCTGGCCCTCCTAATGTATTTTTAAAAACTGTTATTTGCTGGGCAACCCTTTGCCTATGTATGTTTGACTATCAGAAATTAATTTATGGTAACAGTGACTGAATATGACTATTATAAATTAATTTATGGTAGTAGGTAGTAACAGAATATGCTAATAGGTTAGCACATTAAGGTTAAAACACAGGCTTGTGAAGTGAGACAGATTCAGTCTCAGGTTATCTGCTGTTTACTAGCTGCATGATATACTCAGTGAGCTACTGAGTATCCTTCTAATCCTCAATTTTCTATTCCTGGAGTTTATAATTTTTATAAATATATTGTGGAAGCTTGGTAAATATATTTGGCATGATTAAACTTATTCTATTTGTTTTCATGTTCTAAGTACCTAAAAACATAAACATCTTCTTAATCAACTTTTGTTGAAAATGATAAAAAAAAAACCTGCCCTCTCCAAGTTAATTTAAGGTAATAAATGTTGTGGGAAAGACATTCTTTGAAAGTATTATGAAAAATTAAGATGGTTTAAAGGAAGCTATTACTAAAGTTTCCCTTTCTAAAGACTTATCAGATATAATTTTAATTAATAATTCAAAACTTACTTCTTTTCTAATCCATTCAGGGCTGCTACTGTATTACATAACACATATAGTAGACCATTATCCAACAACATGTCTGCTACCTTAGAACAAGAATTTAAAATCTGGATCAGAAGTAATAGAGCATTATGCAAGAGTATGTTGTCATATAGGGAGGTTTCTATTAGTCCCAGGATAGGAATGGCAGACCACTTCTGAAAAAGTCCCATGGTTTTCACATCTTCCAGATCAAATCTGTAACAAACAATAGTTAAGAGCACATTAAAAGCAATTAGTCACAAAATAAGAATGAATGGACGCCCTACAGAGGTCCTAAGTGGCGCGGAAGACGCCGAATCACCCCGCTGCAGACAGGCAGGTCTGCCCACACCCTACCAAGGTTCCCAGTCGCCCGGAACACACGCTGAATCAGCCCGCTGCAGACAGGCAGGTCTGTGGACGCCATACCGAGGTCCTGAGTAGTGCAGAAGATGCCGAATCACCCCGCTGCAGACTGGCAGCCACCTGATTCCACACTACAAAGACGCAGAGGACACCAGACCAAGGTACTGAGTCCCACTGTT